CTATAGTCTAGTCTATAGTCTAGTCTATAGTCTAGTCTATAGTCTAGTCTATAGTCTAGTCTATAGTCTAGTCTATAGTCTAGTCTATAGTCTAGTCTATAGTCTAGTCTAGTCTATAGTCTAGTCTACTAGTCTAGTCTATAGTCTAGTCTAGTCTATAGTCTAGTCTATAGTCTAGTCTATAGTCTAGTCTAGTCTAGTCTAGTCTAGTCTATAGTCTAGTCTATAGTCTAGTCTATAGTCTAGTCTATAGTCTAGTCTATAGTCTAGTCTATAGTCTAGTCTATAGTCTAGTCTATAGTCTAGTCTATAGTCTAGTCTATAGTCTAGTCTATAGTCTAGTTTATAGTCTAGTCTATAGTCTAGTCTATAGTCTAGTCTACAGTCTAGTCTATAGTCTAGTCTAGTCTAGTCTATAGTTTAGTCTATAGTCTAGTCTATAGTTTAGTTTATAGTCTAGTCTATAGTCTAGTCTATAGTCTAGTCTATAGTCTTGTCTGTAGTCTAGTCTATAGTCTAGTCTATAGTCTAGTCTATAGTCTAGTCTATAGTCTAGTCTATAGTCTAGTCTATAGTCTAGTCTATAGTCTAGTCTATAGTCTAGTTTATAGTCTAGTCTATAGTCTAGTCTATAGTCTAGTCTACAGTCTAGTCTATAGTCTAGTCTATAGTCTAGTCTATAGTTTAGTCTATAGTCTAGTCTATAGTTTAGTTTATAGTCTAGTCTATAGTCTAGTCTATAGTCTAGTCTATAGTCTTGTCTGTAGTCTAGTTTATAGTCTAGTCTATAGTCTAGTCTATAGTCTATAGTCTAGTCCATAGCATCGTCTATAGTCTAGTCTATAGTTTAGTCTATAGTGTTGTCTATAGTCTAGTCTATAGTGTAGTCTATAGTCTAGTCTATAGTCTAGTCTGTTGTCTAGTCTATAGTTTAGTCTATAGTGTAGTCTATAGTGTAGTCTATAGTCTAGTCTAAAGTGTAGTCTATAGTCTAGTCTATAGTCTAGTCTGTTGTCTAGTCTATAGTCTAATCTATATACATATCTATAGTCTAGTCTAAAATCTAGTCTATAGTCTAGTCTATAATCTAGAGCTGTACTAGAACTGAACTAGAACTGAACTAGAACTGAACTAGAACTGACTAGAACTGAACTAGAACTGAACTAGAACTGAACTAGAACTGAACTAGAACTGAACTAGAACTGAACTAGAACTGAACTAGAACTGAACTAGAACTGAACTAGAACTGAACTAGAACTGAACTAGAACTGAACTAGAACTGAACTAGAACTGAACTAGAACTGAACTAGAACTGAACTAGAACTGAACTAGAACTGAACTAGAACTGAACTAGAACTGAACTAGAACTGAACTAGAACTGAACTAGAACTGAACTAGAACTGAACTAGAACTGAACTAGAACTGAACTAGAACTGAACTAGAGCTGAACTAGAACTGAACTAGAACTGAACTAGAACTGAACTAGAACTGAACTAGAACTGAACTAGAACTGAACTAGAACTGAACTAGAACTGAACTAGAACTGAACTAGAACTGAACTAGAACTGAACTAGAACTGAACTAGAACTGAACTAGAACTGAACTAGAACTGAACTAGAACTGAACTAGAACTGAACTAGAACTGAACTAGAACTGAGCTAGGAATGAATTAGAACTGAAGTAAGAGTAAATTAAATCAAAACTTTTGTTTAAATATTGGAGTTTAGATTGTATTGGGTCATTTAGGTGTTCGTGTGGAAGGTTTCCTTTCAACATTTCTTAGTTGTTGGTTTGACTTAAATTATTTCATATTTGATTAACGAATCCAATTTATTTTAACTTTCAACTGTTTACTTTCAATTAGTATTGTTTAAACATTTTTTGTTTATATGATTTTTTCCAAACAGTATCTATTTCAATATTTATTTATAGAATTAACATTAATTTAAACTATCTTTTTTTTCGAAAAAAAAAAAAAAAATATTTGTGAAATAAACATTAAAAGCTTATGTCATGTCGGTTTTATATTTCAAAATAAGCCGGTTTAAAATTGAAAAAATAAATAATTTAAATAACATACTATTGTATATATTTTATTTAATTTTTTTGTGTCTCTTTTTTATATTTTGTTATTTTTTCAACACCAGCAGCGCAGAACCAATTCTTTAAACAAATTAACATGTTTTGCATTATAATTAACTTGGCCAGACAGCATGGCAATATCAGGGTTTTAGTATTTTTTTCACTGTTCAACCACAGCTCAAACATAAAACAAGTGTTTGGCAGTAGATAATAAAAGTATTTTTAATTAGAACCCACAAATAAAAGAGGAAAGTAGTGCAATTGTAGCATAAAGTCAGGTTTAGAATAGATAGCTGGTTAATTATAGAGAATTTACAGGCTATAAATCAATTTTCTGGGGTTTTAGTTTTTTTTGTTGAAAAATTTCATTGTACTTAATAATTAATGGTTTGCTGACAACAAAAACACTGACAATTATTTCAAAACTGTCAAGTAATTTATAGTCAAACTAAAATTTTTTGATAAAAACTGACATTCAAACACAAAATCGTACTCTACTTTTAAAACACCTTCAATTCCACAAAGTTCTTTGCTCTACTCAAACTAGTTTGATTTCAATTCAAAATCTTAAAAAAGGGTTTACCAATAAAAATGTCAATTTAAATAATAAAACTAAAACAATAAATTTAAATATTAAATTAAAAATTTATTTTAGCAAAACGCAAAAGAAAACATACAAACATAGATATACATTATACATTTTGTTTATTACAATATATAAATTTTGATTTTATTAGTCTCCGGTCCTTCAGTTTGTCGGTCTTTATTATGGAAATGTGTTTTATTTTATTTTAATAATATATAAATTATTTCTTATATTTTTTTTGTTAATATTATTTAAGAAAATAATTCATAAATTGACTTAAAAGCTAAAATTTATTAATTAAATTATTTATTTTTTATACAAATGTTAAAATAAAAACTATAAATATTTCAAAATATTTGTATGAGTTCATAAAAATTAAATCGAATTATACAATATAAATTGCTAAAACTGAAAATCAATAAACCGAGACAGAACTGACCTAGAACGGAACTAGAATAGAACTAGAATAGAACTAGAATAGAACTATAACAGAACTAGAAAGAACTAGAACATAACTAGAACAGATTAGAACAGAACAGAACTAGAACACAACTAGAACAGAACTAGAACACAACTAGAACAGAACTAGAACAGAACTAGAACAGAACTAGAACAGAACTAGAAACAGAACTCGACACAGAACTAGAACAGAACTAGAACAGAACTAGAACAGAACTAGAACAGAACTAGAACAGAACTAGAACAGAACTCGAACAGAACTAGAACAGAACTAGAACAGAACTAGAACAGAACTAGAACAGAACTAGAACAGAACTAGAACAGAACTAGAACAGAACTAGAACAGAACTAGAACAGAACTAGAACAGAACTTAGAACAGAACTAGAACAGAACTAGAACAGAACTAGAACAGAACTAGAACAGAACTAGAACAGAACTAGAACAGAACTAGAACAGAACTAGAACAGAACTAGAACAGAAACTAGAACAGAACTAGAACAGAACTAGAACAGAACTAGAACAGAACTAGAACAGAACAGAACAGAACTAGAACAGAACTAGAACAGAACTAGAAAGAACTAGAACAGACAGAACATAACTGAACAGAACTAGAACAGAACTAGAACAGAACTAGAACAGAACTAGAACAGAACTAGAACAGAACTAGAACAGAACTAGAACAGAACTAGAACAGAACTAGAACAGAACTAGAACAGAACTAGAACAGAACTAGAACAGAACTAGAACAGAACTAGAACAGAACTAGAACAGAACTAGAACAGAACTAGAACAGAACTAGAACAGAACTAGAACAGAACTAGAACAGAACTAGAACAGAACTAGAACAGAACTAGAACAGAACTAGAACAGAACTAGAACAGAACTAGAACAGAACTAGAACAGAACTAGAACAGAACTAGAACAGAACTAGAACAGAACTAGAACAGAACTAGAACAGAACTAGAACAGAACTAGAACAGAACTAGAACAGAACTAGAACAGAACTAGAACAGAACTAGAACAGAACTAGAACAGAACTAGAACAGAACTAGAACAGAACTAGAACAGAACTAGAACAGAACTAGAACAGAACTAGAACAGAACTAGAAACTAGAACAGAACTAGAACAGAACTAGAACAGAACTAGAACAGAACTAGAACAGAACTAGAACAGCACTAGAACAGAACTAGAACAGAACTAGAACAGAAACAGAACTAGAACAGAACTAGAACAGAACTAGAACAGAACTAGAACTGAACTAGAACTGAACTAGAACTGAACTAGAACTGAACTAGAACTGAACTAGAACAGAACTAGAACAGAACTAGAACTGAACTAACTGAAAGAACTGAACTAGAACTGAACTAGAACTGAACTAGAACTGAACTAGAACTGAACTAGAACTGAACTAGAACTGAACTAGAACTGAACTAGAACTGAACTAGAACTGAACTAGAAACTGAACTAGAACTGAACTAGAACTGAACTAGAACTGAACTAGAACTGAACTAGAACTGAACTAGAACTGAACTAGAACTGAACTAGAACTGAACTAGAACTGAACTAGAACTGAACTAGAACTGAACTAGAACTGAACTAGACTGAACTAGAACTGAACTAGAACTGAACTAGAACTGAACTAGAACTGAACTAGAACTGAACTAGAACTGAACTAGAACTGAACTAGAACTGAACTAGAACTGAACTAGATCTGAACTAGAACTGAACTAGAACTGAACTAGAACTGAACTGTACTGGAACGAACTAGAACTGAACTAAAGTTTGTTTTTGTTTTTCTCATTTTATATCTTTTCTCTAAAGCTTTCAAGTTTTTCTAAAAGCTTTTATAAACTTAATTGAAAAAGCTTTCGTTTATCATTTGTATTAGCAAATTTATATTGTATAATTCTATAATTTATAAAAATAAAAGTTTAAAACAAAAAAAAATGATTTATATATTCTTATAAAAAGTTTATTTTTCAAAAAGTTTTCTTTTATTATTTTATAAAAATTGGTTTTATTTATAGAAGGAATGTAGTTTTATGTAATTTATTTTAAATATGGTTTTGCGACTAAAAACAATTAAAACTTGTATATTTTGTTTAATATTCTTAGAGTTTTCTTTTTTTTTTGGCAAATTAAAAAAATATTTAGAAATTTTATACACAATTATGTTTACGTTTAATTTTTTTTTATAAATTTTATGTTTTTTTAATATAATTTCTTATAATATGTTTTTTTTTTAGCAAATTTAAAAGAAAAAAGTTATGCTTCCTTAAATACCCATCTAATGAATTTTAAATTTTCTTAGAGATTTTTCGTTTTAGTTTTATAGAAGTTTTCATTTAAAAAAAATTCTTCAATTCATTTTTCAATTCATATTGATGGGTCTACAACAGGTACAACAACAAGACAAAAAAAATAATAAATGCTACCCTAGTTTAAAATTAAAATTAGAAAATAATTCATTACTACAGTTAATTAATTCTCAGCTGTTTTCTTACTTTTCTTTCTATACTTTACATACAAAAATAGCTGTCTGTGTTTTTTTTCTCACATATTATTAAAGAAATTAAAAATTAGCATACGTTTGTTTTAACTTTAATTATAATTATCATAATAATTCGTTTTTATTTTATTCTAAATGTAAAATGAACGTAAAACTGTTAATAGAGTTGCCATACTGGCCGCATAGATAATGCTCTGTTGTAGGGTTGTCGTGGTAGCTGAGTTAGCTGTTGATGCTCCAATGCCTGCTAAAGCGGTATTTTGATGTTTTGCTGCTATATTTTCGGGTTTATCTTGTGGTATTTCATTACTGGCTGAAGGTTCATCTTTCATGGATTTTTCCAGAGAATCGGGTCCGGAATGGACAGGACCCATATTGGTCATTTGCACTACTGGAGGTTCATGAATGGGTCGGGGAGTTCCTGCACTGGTGGTAGTGGCATGTGTTGTAGTCGAAGTGGTGGAAGTTGTGGATGTGACAGGTACAAAGGTACCATTTTCGATCCAATAGGGATTTGTCAATTCTAATTTGACATCTTTCAAGTAGGATTTGCGTACCTTTAAGAAATTTAATAACAATTCATTATTATATGGTTCTAATTCAGTTCTAGTATAGTTCTAGTTCTGTTCTAGTTCTGTTCTAGTTGTTCTAGTTTCAGTTCTGTTCTATCTGTTCTAGTTCTGTTCGAGTTCTGTTCTAGTTATGTTCTAGTTCTGTTCTATGTTATGTTCTAGTTTCTGTTCTAAGTTCCTGTTCTAGTTCTGTTCTAGTTTCTGTTCTAGTTCTGTTCTAGTTCGGTTCTAGTTCTGTTCTAGTTCTGTTCTAGTGCTTCTAGTTCTGTTCGAGTTCTGTTCTAGTTTCTGTTCTAGTTCTGTTCTAGTTTCTAGTTGTCTAGTTCTGTTCTATGTCTGTTCTAGTTCGTTCTAGTTATGTTCTAGTTCTGTTCCTAGTTCCTAGTTCTAGTTCTGTTCGAGTAGTTCTGTTCTAGTTCTGTTCTAGTTGTTTCTAGTTCTGTTCTAGTTCTGTTCTAGTTCTGTTCTAGTTCTGTTCTAGTTCTGTTCTAGTTCTGTTCTAGTTCTGTTTCTAGTTCTGTTCTAGTTCTGTTCTAGTTCTGTTCTAGTTCTAGTTCTGTCTAGTTCTGTTCTAGTTCTGTTCTAGTTCTGTTCTAGTTCTGTTCTAGTTCTGTTCTAGTTCTGTTCTAGTTCTGTTCTAGTTCTGTTCTAGTTCTGTTCTAGTTCTGTTCTAGTTCTGTTCTAGTTCTGTTCTAGTTCTGTTCTAGTTCTGTTCTAGTTCTGTTCTAGTTCTGTTCTAGTTCTGTTCTAGTTCTGTTCTAGTTCTGTTCTAGTTCTGTTCTAGTTCTGTTCTAGTTCTGTTCTAGTTCTGTTCTAGTTCTGTTCTAGTTCTGCTCTAGTTCTATTCTAGTTCTGTTGTAGTTCTGTTCTAGTTCTGTTCTAGTTCTGTTCTAGTTCTGTCTAGTTCTGTTTCTAGTTCTGTTCTAGTTCCAGTTCTGTTCTAGTTCTGTTCTAGTTTCTAGTTCTAGTTCTAGTTCGTTCTAGTTCTAGTTCTGTTCTAATTCTGTTCTAGTTCTGTTCTAGTTCTGTTCTAGTTTTAGTTCTGTTCTAGTTCTGTTCTAGTTCTGTTCTAGTTCTGTTCTAGTTCTGTTCTAGTTCTGTTCTAGTTCTGTTCTAGTTCTGTTCTAGTTCTGTTCTAGTTCTGTTCTAGTTCTGTTCTAGTTCTGTTCTAGTTCTGTTCTAGTTCTGTTCTAGTTCTGTTCTAGTTCTGTTCTAGTTCTGTTCTAGTTCTGTTCTAGTTCTGTTCTAGTTCTGTTCTAGTTCTGTTCTAGTTCTGTTCTAGTTTGTTCTAGTTCTGTTCTAGTTCTGTTCTAGTTCTGTTCTAGTTCTGTTCTAGTTCTGTTCTAGTTCTGTTCTAGTTCTGTTCTAGTTCTGTTCTAGTTCTGTTAGTTTCTGTTCTAGTTCTGTTCTAGTTCTGTTCTAGTTCTGTTCTAGTTCTGTTCTAGTTCTGTTCTAGTTCTGTTCTAGTTCTGTTCTAGTTCTGTTCCTAGTTCTGTTCTAGTTCTGTTCCTAGTTCTGTTCTAGTTCTGTTCTAGTTCTGTTCTAGTTCTGTTCTAGTTCTGTTCTAGTTCTGTTCTAGTTCTGTTCTAGGTTCTGTTCTAGTTCGTTCTAGTTCTGTCTAGTTCGTTCTAGTTCTGTTCTAGTTCTAGTCTAGTTCTGTTCTAGTTCTGTTTCTAGTTTTTTCGTGTTCTAGTGCTGTTCTAGTTCTGTTTCTAGTTCTGTTCTAGTTCTGTTCTAGTCTTTCTGGTTCTAGTTCTGTTCTATGTTTTGTTCTAGTTTCGTCTGTTCTGTTCTAGTCGTAGTTCTGTTCTAGTTCTGTTCTAGTTCTGTAGTGTTCTAGTTCTGTTCTAGTTCTGTTCTAGTTCTGTTCTAGTTCTGTTCTAGTGTCTGTCTAGTTCTGTTCTAGTTCTGTTCTAGTTCTGTTCTAGTTCTGTTCTAGTTCTGTTATAGTTCTGTTCTAAGTTCTGTTCTAGTTCTGTTCTAGTTGTCTAGTTCTGTTCTAGTTCTGTTCTAGTTCTGTTCTAGTTCTGTTCTAGTTCTGTTCTAGTTCTGTTCTAGTTCTGTTCTGTTCTAGTTCTGTTCTAGTTCTGTTCTAGTTCTGTTCTAGTTCTGTCCTAGATCTGTTCTAGTTCTGTTCTAGTTCTGTTTTAGTTCTGTTCTAGTTCTGTTCTAGTTCTGTTCTGGTATCAAAAACTTACCTCTGCCTTAATTTTTCTCGATACGCTGTCCTCACTGCCAGCATAGAAGGCATACAATTTCGCACTATAGGGAGCATCCAAAGTCACATAATTGCCCTTGAGTGTAACATTAATGGCGGTACCAGGCCAAAGTTTAGTATTCACCGATTTAGTTTCAAAGCGCTTTTCACTATGTTTCAAGGCCCAGTTGATTTCTGCAGGTTTGGAAGCATCATTTTCGAATACCTTAGTAGGCAAGCCACGGGCCACGCCCTCATGTGAACCCCAGTACTGAACATGATCAAAACCATAAGTCAAGGCAGTTTCCACTACACTATATTTGTCGCCCGTATTAGCCAAGACACCAAAAGCTATAGATACAAGAAAATCATTAAATTTAGACTAAAATGCTTAATTCCATGAAACTTACCCAACTCGGTAATATTTTCTCTCATATCCAAACGTATCTGATCTAATCTGATATCTTTCAATTCATAACGGAAAGGTTCGGTTTCCACCAAGACTTCTCCCTCATCGTAATCCTTTTCCACATTCGATTCCATTACCTTAATTTTACCCAAACCCACGGGATCTAAACGGCCCAAATTAAAATCGGCACCCTGTTGTTGACCTCCCTCAGCGGCGTTACTCTCAGTCTGGGGTGCCTTATGTCTGCCTATGTAAGCATCTTCTCCTATACGAATAGCTCCCACTGGCACACCCACATTAAATTTACGCCAATGTTTCCAGGACACTTTACCCAAATGACCCTTATTGATCAACACATCAAATGTATTGTATTTCATATTTTTATAATGGGCCGCTTTGCAAACATGAGACTGTTGTATCTTCTCCGTATGACCAATGGTACCGACACCATCAATATTCACCCGACACACATAAATGGGATAGTGTTCCTCTTCGGTGATATATTTACCGCCTTCAACGGCATACTGCAGTTGTTTGGGATCTTTGAGATCGTATGTTTCCCACACTAGAGTACTGGAGGTGACCAACTGGCCCAACAGAGTGGAGGCATTTTTGTATGTGAGTACTGAATGGACGGCAGCTTGGCTGGATGTAACGAAGAGGAAGAGTGCTAGTGTTAGGGAGCATATATTGAGGCTGAGAAACCTGGGTAATCTCGGTGGTTTTTTACTTGAAGACAACATTTTTGTGTTTATTTTTATGATTTTTTTTTCTGGTAGCAGGGGAAGTCTAGAGGGAGAGGAAGGAACTGTAAAGAAATTAAAAGAAAGTAAAACATTAATGTTTTATTTTTAAAACTTTTGCTTAATTTAAATATTTATTTCAACCAAAACTAACTACTTGCGACGACTAATTGACAACTTTTGTTGTCTGTCTATCATGTCCTTGTCCAGAAAAAAAAACCGGCGTCAAAGGGATTTAATCAACAAATCAAATAACCCAACCAGTATGATGTTGATCCATTTAGACATGCATCGATTTGTTATTCAACTTCTCGTTTTGTCTCTACTTAAGTGGAAAACAAATTCAATTTGAATAAACTAGAAAAATCGAGAGAAAAACATAAGAAATAATTGACCACAGGGTCAATACAAGGCACTTTGCTTAACTAAAGTACTTTATTTAGTAGATAGAATTCTTTACATTTAGATAGAATCCTTTACATTTTCTACAGCAAGTGCTGATGCTTCAATAATATGGTCGTCATCATTATCATCATGAACATCTTCATTATACATTTTTAGGATAACGACAAATTTATTTTTTGTACGGAAGTTAAACTAACAGCTGATGATAGACAATAGTTTACTAATGAACACACACACTATTTTTAGCAACGAATAAAGCTCAGGGAGGAGAAAGAGATAAAGAATTAAAGTGAGTTGGTGTTGGTGTAATGGCCGAAAAAGGATATTGATATATTGCAACTTTATATCCGGTACATAAGGCGAGTCGGTAGAGTATACTATAGTATACAGTTGAGACTATAGATCAGTGTATAGTCGAGACTGTAGATCAGACTAATGTCGATTCTATAGTCGAGACTATAGATCTCTCTATATACGAGACTAAACATCTATAGTCGAGACTAAACATCAGTCTATAGTCGATATCATAGATCATTCTATAGTCGAAGCTAGATCTATCTAAAGTTGAGACTATAAACCTGTCATAGTCGAGACTATAGATCATTCTGTAATCAAGAATCGAGACTATAGATCAGTCTATATTCGAGTATATAGATCAGTCTATAGACGATCGGATCAGTCTAAAGTCGAAGCTATAAATCTATAGACTATATAGATCTATCAACAGTTGAAACTATAGATTATGTTATAGTCTAGACTATAGATCAGTCTACAGTCGAGACTATAGATCAGTCTATAGTCGAGACTATCGATCAGTCTATAGTCGAGACTATAGACCAGTCTATAGTCGAGACTATAGACCAGTCTATAGTCGAGACTATAGATCAGGCTGTAGCTGAGAATATAGATCATTCTAAAGTCGAGACTATAGATTAGTTGATGGTCGCGACTATAGATCAGTATATAAATCAGTCTATAGTCGAATCTATAGATCAGTCTATAGTCGAGACTATTGATCAATCTATAGTCGAGACTTTACATTAGTCTCGAGACGTTAGATCAGACTTTAAATCAGTCTGTAGTCGAGACTATAGATCAGTCTGTAGTCGAGACTATAGATCATTCTATAGTCGAGACTATAGATCAGTCTATAGTCGAGTATATAGATCAGTCTATAGTCGAGTATATAGATCAGTCTATAGTCGAGTATATAGATCAGTCTATAGTCGAGCATATAGATCAGTCTATAGTCGAGTATGTAGATCACTCTATAGTCGAGACTATAGAACAGTCTATAGTCAAAACTATGGATCAGTCTACAGTCGAGACTATAGATCCGTCTATAATGAATGCAATAGATGAAGACTATGGAAGACTATAGTTTAGACTATAGATCGGTCTATAGTCGAGACAATAGATGAGTCTATAGTCGAGATTATAGATCAGTCTATAGTCGAGACTGTAGATCAGTCTATAGTCGAGACTTTAGATCAGTCTATAATCGAGTCTATAGATCAGCCTATAGTCGAGATTATTGATCAGTCTATAGTCGAGAATGTAGTCTACAGTTAATGCTTTAGCTCAGTCTATAGTGAAGATTATAAGTGAGAGTTTAGAAGTGAATGTGTAAAAGTAAATGTGTAGGTGTAATGAACGAGAAACGATATAAATATATTGGTTGTATGTGTTTGTTTAGTAACTTTATATCCGGTATACTGAAACATAAATTATAATGAAGAGTGTTTTTGGCCTTAACTAATATTGATTATTTTAAGTGCAAATTTGTAGCAAAAATCATTCTATTAGTCCCAGTACTTTTATCACTGATAGGGTCATTTACATGTCTATATTTGTTATTGACAAAAACTAATGACCCAATGGATCCTTTTGTCTTTTTTTCCCAGCTTTTTACTCCTTTCTACTATTACCGACATTGAGTACACAAAATATTTAGTACATTCATTCACTTTTTGTTGGACAAGTGTACATGACATAGACAGAGTTCATTTCCATTTGAGTCTAACAACAACAACAGCAATAACTATTGGATTTCATTAAATATTTGTTTAGTACCGACAATATAGAGAAAGAGTCCATACATGTGTTTTCACAAATTTACACACACATTTACATAATTTTCATTTAAGTTATTGCAATAGTATTAGTGTTTGTTGTCCTTCGTAATACTATACATCATATGTATGTATGTTATGTCCTTTGCAAAAATGTTGTTTAAATGATGGCATTTGTAAGTGTGTGTTTGATTGCGTCTGCATATGGCCAAGTTAATATTTATAGTTGTCATTTGTTGTTGAGTGGAAAAAATAAAAGCTTTTTTTCTGTTTTTGTTTTTATTCTAGAAATATAAAAAGGACCCGTCTTTCTATACAGACTTATGCCACTTGAGTGGTTTCTATAACATCACTCCTATACAGATGTAAATGTAAGTAGTTGTTATTTATTGTTGTAGTTGTTATTTTTCGCATACATCATACATGTATTTTAGTATTTATACTTGTTGGTTGTCATAAGGACCTCTTCTATTGTGTTTTTTTTGTTGTTGTTTTCTTTATTTTGCTAAATTTTGAAAATAAAAACAACAACTTTTATTATAAAATGTTTTCTTTTAAATTTATTTTCTATAGACGTTTTGTATAAAAAACAGGCTTTTTCTTGTAAGAATTTTTTTCATAAACATCTTTCAGATCTTTTGTCTAAATCAGTTAAGAAAAACACTTTTTACAAACACAGAAATTGTTTGGTTAATAGACATATACACAAGATAATAATTTTCATTTTTGGTGAAATTTATAAATTTATGTAAAATTGCAAAATTTGAAATTTTTTATTAATAAGAAAATTTTAGCAGAATTTAAAATGTTTGCTTAAAATTTCATATTCTAGTAAAAATCTGAAATTAGAATCAAAACAGAACTAGAACAGAACTAGAACAGAACTTGAACAGAACTAGAACAGAACTAGAACAGAACTAGAACAGAACTAGAACAGAACTAGAACAGAACTAGAACAGAACAGAACTAGAACAGAACTAGAACAGAACTAGAACAGAACTAGAACAGAACTAGAACAGAACTAGAACAGAACTAGAACAGAACTAGAACAGAACTAGAACAGAACTAGAACAGAACTAGAACAGAACTAGAACAGAACTAGAACAGAACTAGAACAGAACTAGAACAGAACTAGAACAGAACTAGAACAGAACTAGAACAGAACTAGAACAGAACTAGAACAGAACTAGAACAGAACTAGAACAGAACTAGAACAGAACTAGAACAGAACTAGAACAGAACTAGAACAGAACTAGAACAGAACTAGAACAGAACTAGAACAGAACTAGAACAGAACTAGAACAGAACTAGAACAGAACTAGATCTAGAACAGATCTAGAACAGAACTAGAACTGAACTAGAACAGAACTAGAACAGAACTAGAACAGAACTAGAACAGAACTAGAACAGAACTAGAACAGAACTAGAACAGAACTAGAACAGAACTAGAACAGAACTAGAACAGAAATAGAAACAGAACTAACAGAACTAGAACTAGAACAGAACTAGAACAGAACTAGAACAGAACTAGAACAGAACTAGAACAGAACTAGAACAGAACTAGAACAGAACTAGAACAGAACTAGAACAGAACTAGAACAGAACTAGAACAGAACTAGAACAGAACTAGAACAGAACTAGAACAGAACTAGAACAGAACTAGAACAGAACTAGAACAGAACTAGAACAGAACTAGAACAGAACTAGAACAGAACTAGAACAGAACTAGAACAGAACTAGAACAGAACTAGAACACTAGAACAGAACTAGAACAGAACTAGAACAGAACTAGAACAGAACTAGAACAGAACTAGAACAGAACTAGAACAGAACTAGAACAGAACTAGAACAGAACTAGAACAGAACTAGAAAGACTAGAACAGAACTAGAACAGAACTAGAACAGAACTAGAACAGAACTAGAACTGAATTAAAACAGAAACTAGAACAGAACTAGAACTGAACTAGAACTGAACTAGAACAGAACTAGAATAGAACTAGAACAGAACTAGAACAGAACTAGAACAGAACTAGAACAGAACTAGAACAGAACTAGAACAGAACTAGAACAGAACTAGAACAGAACTAGAACAGAACTAGAACAGAACTAGAACAGATCTAGAACAGAACTAGAACTGAACTAGAACTGAACTAGAACTGAACTAGAACTGAACTAGAACAGAACTAGAACAGAACTAGAACAGAACTAGAACAGAACTAGAACTAGAACAGAACTAGAACAGAACTGAACTAGAACTGAACTAGAACTGAACTAGAACTGAACTAGAACTGAACTAGAACTGAACTAGAACTGAACTAGAACTGAACTAGAACTGAACTAGAACTGAACTAGAAGTGAACTAGAACTGAACTAGAACTGAACTAGAATTGAACTAGAACTGAACTAGAACTGAACTAGAACTGAACTAGAACTGAACTAGAACTGAACTAGAACTGAACTAGAACTGAACTAGAACTGAACTAGAACTGAACTAGAACTGAACTAGAACTGAACCAGAACTGAACCAGAACTGAACCAGAACTGAACTATACACTAATATTGATATTCAGGACTAAAGTCTCGTATGGACTATTAGAGTAGTATGTTTATGTATGTTCTACCCCAGGTTTTCCATACAAAAACTGGTATGCATGAATTTTTCGCCACTGGTAACCAGTCTGGTAAGTAGTTGATAAAAATGCATGGGTGGGAGTATGTGTACGTTTGAGATGTGTGTTATGCATGGGTGGGAGTATGTGTACGTTTGAGAATGTGTGATAGGTGAAGGGGGGGTGGTGGTTTGAGAGGGGGGGTGTGGGGTGTGTGTATGCTGGGTGTAGGGTGAGTGTGTGGTGTGTGTATGCTGGGTGTAGGGTGTGTGGGTGCTGGGTGTAGGGTGTGTGGGTGCTGGGTGTAGGGTGTGTGGGTGCTGGATGTAGGGTGTGTGTATGCTGGATGTAGGGTGTGTGGGTGCTGGATGTAGGGTGAGTGTAGAGTGTGTGTGTGTGTGATGTTGGAGGTCCATCTCTGCATCGGTGAGGGTGTTATTAAATTTGTGATTTGTGAGTGTAGTGTGTTTTCCATCCATGGGATTTGTTAAAGTGCAATTAAACTGTTTGCGGTTTTATTAATGCGAGCGCGTTTGAAAAGTGTATGCAATAATAAGTTTGCGGTTTTAAGAGTTGGTGCGCGAGTGCATTACAATGTAGTTTTTGTGGTTTTAATGAATTGGTGCGCGAATGAGTTGGTGCGCGAGTACATTACAATATAGTTTTTGTGGTTTTTTAAGAATTTTTTTTGCACACTTGGAATATAAAAATATTTTTAAAAGTAGAAAAAAGAATCGATTATAAGAATTTTTTATAAAAATTGCAAATAAAAACAATGGATTAAAATATATATATATTTTTCGTGGTTTTAAGAATTTATTTTACATTTTCGTGATAAGAAATGTAAGACTTATGTTGAAATTTTTTAAATAAAAAGGGGTTGTAAGTAGAGAAAATTTTACTAATTTAAATATTCAACCGTTTAATAAAGTTTAAAAAAATAATAATAATAATATGGATCGTTTTAGTTTTGTTTTTGTGTCTGAAAATAATCTCTGGTACGACGAGGTACTAGAAATGCAGTTAGCGTCTGCATCCAATTTTTGGATGCAGATGAGGGAAGAAAAAAGATTTTTTCCTACGATAGAAGAACTACTGGCTCCTCTTCTCATCGAAACTGCCAAGAGAGGAGGTATGAACTGTATGAACATTAACCGTGTAGAGATCACATGGACTGATGGGACGGGGCTGGTACAATTTCATGAGAATGGCGAAAAGTTTATATTTGGATTCTTAGAGTTAGCTGAAAATGGAGTGGTGCTTGTGGGGGAGGTTCCCCATAAGTACTACTTTTTATATAGCGATAGTGATAATATATTACATTAAAAAAAAATAAAACAAATAAATAATAAAAAATTAAAAAACAAATTTATGCATTTCTTTTTTTATTTAAATTTTATTGAAGGTACAATTTTTACATTTATATAAGTTATAAAAATTTATAATTTGTCTAGCTTCTTCTTCAACCTCGCTCTTCCTCTGTTTATAGAAGGTACAACGGCAAGTGTCTGGTCCACATGTTGTTGTTTCATCGGCCCAAACACAATCTTCAAAATGTTCACCATGTTTGTTGGTTATTGTTGACAAATTTTGTATATACTCTAGTTGTGATTGGATGTCTAATAGTTTGGATTTATCCTCATCCGAAATAATATTGTAAAATGTTTTTAAAAAGTTGTAAATGTCTTGTAGAATCATTTTAATGATATAGATGATGAGTGTGAGTATATGTTTTATTACTGTATACTCATATGTAATGTTTGTGAATAATCTTTTATGTTGATTGTTCTGATATTTATATCATTTTGTGATCGTTCAAATAGTGGACTTGTCTCGAACTCTTCTCCTGTTCTTCTACCATTAAAATATAGTACATCTCTATGAAATTCGGTATTATGTTCAAAACAGTAAATGTTAAGTTTACGATATTGGTAGTTGCTATAATAACTACATCGAAGTCTTATTTCACAATTATCATATTTTAAATTGAAATGACGAAAGAATACTGTAGAACTTTCAATTATACCACCAATATTAATTTCTTTTTCGATTAGATCCTTTCTGAAAGCTTCAATAGCATCGTTAATGGTGAATGTTTGTTCACTATTATTATTATTATTATAACTTCTTGTTCCTCTTGTATGATCCCTTAATGATGCAGTTGTTGTTGTTGTTGTTGTGTCTGGTGAATGGGTTTCCAATTGAAGTGATAAATGTACTCGCACATTGAATGTACTATTAAGATGTGTTAATTTAAAATTTATATATTTACTTGTATCACCATTAATTAGCGGAGATGAATGATTTGGCTCCTGTTTACTTATATGTATAATAAGTAATAGATAAAATAATATTGATATCATTATTCCTTTCCCTTTAACAATCATTATCAAACTAAGCTTTATATTCTTATTCAATTGTCATTTTATATGTTTGTGTATAGTTTTTTAAATGGATTATTTTAATGTCTTGTAATTTACGTGATAAATCTGGAATGCGAACTTTTTCAATTTCACCATTACTTAAAATTCTCTCCTGTTCAAATTCACGATATTCAAAACAACTTATTTTTAATTTTTGTTTTTCGAAAATACTATCATATGTGCAACGAATAGGTATATTAACATTTTCATACTTAAGATTAAAATGTCTATAAAATGGTTCTTTAGAGTCTAGTATACCACCAATGGTTAACTCTTGTTTTATTAAATCTTTACGAAATGCTTCTATAGCATCATCCACTGTAAAATAATTTAATAAGGGGTCATCCGTAGTAAATGATGTAGCAGCTGTAGTAGTGGTAGTAGTAGTAGTAGTTGTTGTTGTTGTTGTTATGTTCTCATTTATATCGTCATCATCGTAATTTTCATCATTTAATAGAAATTCACTGTCTCTTGTTTCTAAAGGATCGCTTTCCTTTAACATTAAAAATGAAATATTAACTTTTAAAATTTGATGGTTAGGAAGTGTAAAGTTAAACTCTATACTTTTTGAATTCGAATCCATTTGCGGAGTAGTACCAAGAAGATTAATTGTAGTATTACTATTATCATTAATTGGTAATGTATTAACAAAAAATGTGTTCAATAAAAATGAACTTATCACCCACAAAGTAACTGTACAAAGATCCATTTTGAACTTTTATTAGATGTACACTTCACGGAATTCAAATATATAATAATGAAAAAATAATAAAAGTCTGTAATTTATATATTTTTTTTTTTTATTTCGCTTTTTCTATAAAAATAAATTTCTAATTTCATAATATTGTGAAATTCTATTAATAACTTACCACTAGACACTAGAATCATTTAAAAGAAAAAAAAAACAAATGTTTTTATTTTATTTTTATTCAAGAAAAAAATTAAATTTTTTATTTATTTTATTTTTTTACAATAGTTTTTTAATTTCATTTGTCAGAGGAATGTACTCAAACATTTTATCATGTATAATTAAACAGTATGCAGATGTATCAGCTGGTATATTTTTTAGGGTTTTTATCTCAATGCGAATATCGATTGGTCCAGTTTTAACCGTTTCATTTTGATGAGTCACATCCAGAACTATTAATGGTGCATCCGTTTTAAATTTTTCTCGTGTTAGCAATGGTTGTGGATCACGAAAATAATAGCTTTGTTGAAACTTATAGTACATATCGTATAATAATGCAAAACGATTTCTATCAAATTTGAGATTTAGATCATCATATGGGTAAGTATCAGAATTTAGATGTACTTTTACATCTGATAAGTCACAGTGTAAAAACTTGTTGTCCTTACTGCGAAAGGCAATAAGAAGAAAACGAGGTCTTTCATTTTCACTAGCTAGCTTAACATTCCACAAAACAGTTGTACTTGTTGGAAGTGCAGGATAATAGTACATATCCCAGCTTCTAAATGTTATATTTAATGGTTGACGATTGTTGATTGTTTTATACATTTGCAATTTGTATGCATCTGCAAGCTGAATATGCGGTACTTTCCATGTTATATTTTGAATGGATAGCTTAATGTTTTCTGTAGAAACTGTAGACTTTAAGACTTGTTTATCATCTTTTGAACGTAAAAGAATCAATTCATGTTTAGAGTTGACTATAATTTTATTGAAATCCTCTGCAAATCCAAGTAATAGTTTTAATGGTAGACAAAAATTGAAATAACCGCTCACAAGTGTCAGATCATCGATATTAGAAGGTGCCCAGCCTGCATTTAAGAGATTTTCACTTTGAGATTTATTCAGGGAGACATAGTTTTTTATTTCAGTTGTAATGCCCAAATGTCTAGTACGATCAATTTCTACTCCATTAAGTTCATAGCGAATTTCATCAAATAAATGTGCTATACAATTGTTCAAGAGTCGTATATTCGTTGATATTGTTGAATCTTCCTTCGTTGCAAATCCTTCAACGTATATAAAACTTTCGTGTGGTAAAACATACAAATCTTGATTTTGAATCGATATACGAATTTCATCATTATTTTTATACGACTGTAAATATGATGTATAACTATGATATTCTTTTTTGATGATTGAATTATCAAATAGTGGCTTCTGCAAAACGTTTATAAAATTACTCATGTTGTTTTTTCCTTTTTTTTTTTATATCTTTAAACGAAATCCTAATTTTTTTAAAAACTCTTGATTGTTCTTGCTTAGAAGAGTATTAGTATGTTGAGGTGATGGTTTTTCTCTTGCGTTCAACGTTGATAATGACCGACTGAATGATGAATCCTTATAAAAATCGTTTATATTGCAATTGTTATTGTTGTTATTGTAAATTATCATTATTTTAAGAAAATGGTTTCAGATGTAGCTTTATTGTTATTTTTTCTCCACGAAAATTCACTAAATTACCATCCTGATCGGTTACTTTTAAGACTAAGGTATTTATTGTTCTAGTGTTTACAGGTAAATATATTACATTAGCCGGTGTCTCTGTTATTTTATAGCCTGGGCTAACGACAAGTGAAAACTGATGAAGAGTATGTGCAGACACGTTATTTATATATGAGCCAGAAACGATATTACATTCAATGAATAATGTATTTATTTTAGTTATATCTATAGTTTTGTCTGAGTAATGTTCTACACCATGTTTCAATACTTTTCCACTAAATCCCAATAACGATCCGATTGAATGTTTCTTATCAAAATAAATCGGATCTTTAGAGCTTGTTATATGTGTTTGTAAAGTATTATAGTTGGCTTTAATGTTAAGTTTTCCATGTGGATTTAGTTTCCGATATTTTGTTGTTATCAAATCGACTATATCAGAAAATTCATATGAACCAACAGGAATTTCAATTTCATAATTTCCAATGTGAAATAGATTGTTTTCTATATCGACATTTGGAATTGAGTGATATGTATCGAAGCTTATTAGTCCACAAACATAATTATCATTGAGTTGGATAGGTGGAAAATAATTTGCAACTAATAATGAACTTTCACCGTTTAATGTTAATGTAATTGACATCTTAACGTTACTTTTATTAATAAGTAGTTTTCGGAAATTTTATTGTTTTTATAAAGTTGTGTTACTAATCCAAGAGTTGTGTTCTGATGAAAATCCTAACCATTTAACGTACGACATATTTCCCCTCCTCCTTATAACTTTTTCAACTAAATATGTTTCAGGATATTTAGTTTTCATTAGCTCGTACTCATAAAAACCACCTTTAATTTCATGTCCTTGATAATCTTGTAATATATATGTATTGGGGTTTGTGTTTCTCACAATCTTAACTTTAAAGATTTCCGTAGTCCAATTCGGAGTATAACCCTTTTCAAATATATGCTTATATTTACTTATTCGTACATTATCACCAACTTTAAACTTTGGCCTTTTAAAAACTTTTAAATTGTTGTAGACTGTCTTCAAAAGTGATTTTTCGTTTGATGAATTCACTTCATTTGGTGTCATCTTTATTGTTCTATGATATGTATTATTATATTTATCTACGAGTTCTCGATATATGTTAATCCATTTATATGTTCCTTGATAACTAAACTCTTTCCACATTAATCCCTTTAATGTTCTATTAAAACGTTCTATTATGGATGCTTTTAAAACACTATATGTTGAATAGTGATTAATTTTATGTGTTTGCATTAGATGATGAAATTGATTATTGAAAAATTCTTTACCATCATCAGTTTGTAAGTTTTGCGGTTTCCTGTAACTCGTATTAAGTACACTATGCATAGCATTTGTTACGCATTGAGCAGTTTTATTTTTTACTGCAACAGCCCAGGCTTTTTTCGAAAATGTATCTATTACGGTTAGGAGATAACGATATCCATTATTATAAGATGCATAACTACCCATTTCTACTAAATCCGCTTGCCATAAATCATCAATTCCTTTTACAATAACACGTCTTCTTGCAAAATTTTTTCTCGCTTGTTTATGTAATTCGTTAACTATTTCTCTTTTCTCTGCATTCAAATCCATTTGTTTTTATGTCTTAAGTTGAGTTTTTTGTATATATAAATTATGAATATGTTGGGTTTTTCGGTACGACTACCTTAGGTCTCTTACTAATATTTTTAAATAGGTAATCTTCAATATTATTAAATCTTTCTTCGATAGCAACCCATTTAAAAATATATTCTTCTATTTTATTAAATCGTTCTTCAACTTTATTCATTTGATCTTTATTTGCATTTAATAAATGTTTTTTAACAGCTTGTTCAATAGTAGTTTCTTGTTTATTGATGTGATTTTGAACAGCTTTGGTAATATTCTCTACATCCTTATATAGTTTTTCTAATGTTGTATTAAGTTCATTTTTTAAATTGATTATATCACTTGTATGTATAGCATTTCCTTTTGTTATTTTTTCTATATCCTTATATATATTTTTTAGGTTATTAAAAATTGCTTCATTGATTTGATTCTTAAGCTCATTTACAATAGTTCCATGTTCAGTATGTAATTGTTCGATTTTTTCAGTTACATAATCTATTTTGTTAGTAAGATACATTTTTGTAACTGCATCTTTAGGATCAACGGGTGCTAACAAATTACTTATTCTTTTCTTATTGAGATCCAAACATTCTTTATTTATGCTTATATCGAGTGACTTGAAAAGATCTTTCTTTGGATCGTTTAGTTTACGATTATTAGAACTTTCTCCAAATTTATTGATAAAACTCATTTTTTTTAGTTTTTCGCTTTTATGTTTAATAAATGATATTAGCTTCTTTCAATTCTTCAATAATTGATATTATTTCGTTTTTATGGTTGTTATGTCCAACACTACTCGATGATGTAAGTAAACGTAATCTGTTCACTAATTCATTCGGATCATCCCAATAAATATATTTTGGTTTCCGGTTATCTAAGGATTTCAACGATAATCCACTACCTTTTGTTAGAACATTAGGTTTTGTATTAAATAACTTTTTAATAATACGTTTATATTTAAATGCTTTTGTACCTTTAATTTGTGAATTTGGTTGATAGTGACGTTTATGTACATTTGTATTAATTAGAACATCTTTGTATGTGCTTAAATCATTTTTAGTATAATGCAACGGTTTTGAATGAAATAGTAACTCAAATAAACCTGGAGTCATTTTCAACTTAGTATCTCCAATATATATTGTGTTATTTGATTTAAACTTTAATTTATTTAATCCATATCGCCAATTTCCATCACGATCTATATTAAATCCATATAATTTATCAATCATATTATTACTTATTAATAATTTTACATTTTCAAATAATGATGATTTTTGTAGATTATCATTTTCATTTTTATTCTCACTATTTAATTTTAAACGTTTTTTATCAACATTTAATTGAGCTACACTCTTTCGTTTTGCAAATAAATGTGTGGTTTTCCAGCGTTTTTTATCGTCTTCATCAAAACCACTTAGTAAAGTTTTATTCTTTCGTTTCGTAGGTTGTTTTTGTTGCGGTTTTACAATGTTTACATTCGAAGAAGTAGAGGGAAGTTGTATATTACTACTAAGTTTATTAGTCAAAGTTGAGTGTGGTGATTCTTTGCTGTTGTGAAATTTATTTGTGGATGTATTATAAATTTTTTTTCCGATTACATTTTTTAATATTGTTCTTTTTTTATTTTTATTACGTTTCAATAGATGACCTTTTTTGTTTATATATTTTCTTTTTTGTTTTTCTAGACTAGAGTTATTGCTATATAGCCTAGTTCTTTTTAAGTTTTTTATACGAAAATCATCAGTTTTATCGCTAATATCTTCATATTCCATATCTGAATAAGGATTAGATATGTTTTCATCATCATCAAAACCAGCAAAACCAGATTTATTATCATCATTGTCATCAATATCATCATATTCCATATCAGATGAAATATTACTAGAAATGTTGCTATTATTTAAATCAGATATATCATCATCATCATCGATATCTTGTGTATGTAACGATGGAGATGATAGTGATCGCATATCTTGGGTATGTAACGATGAAGATGTTGGTGATCTTGAATGTATTCGATTTGTTGTGGACACGGTTTTATTTCTGTTTGATTTATATTCATCTAGTTTTCCAATTATATTTTTTAAGGGTTTTGTTATGGGTTGAAAGGTATCTTCTAACAAATTAACTTTATCTATTTCATTTAATTTAATATTTTTCAATTTTTCTTTCAATATTGCTCTAGTATTTACAATATCTTTCAACAATTTATGACTCATGGTTGTTATTTTTGTTCGTTTAACGATCTGTTACCGATCTGTTTTGTAACTGATAATGATCTGGTTCTGATCTGCTTCTGATCTGCTTTATATCTGATATGATCTGCTTCTGATCTGCTTTATAACTGATATGATGATCTGCTTCTGATTTAATACAATCTGACTCTGATCTACCTTATATTTCTGCTACATAACTTACAATTGAATGAAGTTATCGAATCCCTTTCTATATCGACCTTTATTAATTAAGTCATCTTTACTAATAACCAGAAATCCATATTGGTCTTTCCAACATTCACTACAAATCTTCATGAATTCGTTAAAAGTCATATCACCGATAACATGATCGTTATAAATATGTCGTAAATTCATTTCATCTTGTTTAAATATTATAAGCATATTTGCATTATCACGTATTAAATGTTTAGGAATTTTCGTATATGTTTGACATAAATAAAAACAATCAATATGCTTATGTCTACCCATACAAAAGTAATCTCGTATATTATTTTGTTTTCCACAAATCACATCATCGAATATTATTATAGAATGTGGATTTGCTTTAGCTGGACTTATCACTTTTTCATTTTCCGCGAACGTAAACAGTTTTATATCTTTTATTGGTTCAATTAGCTTTTTAAGGTAACAATATTTTGGTTGATATAAAGATTTTGAATAGATGTATATGTTTTTAAAGCAAAGACCATTAGGACTTTCTATGAGACTAATCATAACATTAGTCTTTCCACAGTTTGATGGACCCACAATTAATGCTCGTATTGTATTTGGCAATAGAGTACCATGCCTGTTTTTATATTTATTTACTTGTTCATCGTCTGCATTTCTAATTACAATTTTTTTAGCTTGTTTAATTAACCGCATATTGGTAACTAATAAAAAGTAATCCAAAAAAACATATCTTATATAAATGGTCTGTTAGATAACTTATGTTTTAGTCATATATCATCTGCAGAAGAAGAAAAATGGTTATAAATTATAATAAAAACAATACTTTGAATCAGTCTAAGATTGGACGAGGATTAGTGAACACGTTAATAAACAAATTACCGTTTGAACTGCATTTACCTGGTTATCAGTTTTGTGGACCTGGTACAAAACTTAAAGAACGTTTGGCAAGAGGAGATAAAGGAATAAATTTATTAGACTCGGCTTGCAGAGAGCATGATATTGCATATTCACAATCAAAAGATTTAAATAAAAGACATCAAGCTGATCAAATACTAGCGGAAAAAGCTTGGCAACGAGTAAAATCTAAAGATAGTACATTTAAAGAACGAGCAAATGCTTGGTTCGTTACTAATGCCATGAAGACAAAAGTTAAATTTGGATTAGGCATGAAGAACAACAACAAAATTCATAAATCAAAAAAATCAAAGAAAAAAGGAAAAAGGAAAATTTGCAATAGAAAATTATTTTCGAATACAGTTAAAAATACCTTAAAACTTTTGAAAAAAGAAAATCCAGATAATATACGTGATGCTGTTAAAATTGCAAAAAAAGTTGTTCATACTAATTTCAAAAGAAAAAGAAGAGCTAATATAGGAATACCAAGAGTAATTCCTATTCCTAAAATTGGTGGATTTCTACCATTAATACCTATTTTAACAGCATTATCTGCTCTTGGAGGTTTAGCTACAGGTGGATCAGCTATAGTTAAAGCTGTGAATAGTATTAAAAATGGAAAAGAACAACTAGCTGAAGCTACTCGACACAACAAACATATGGAGGCAATTGCTATGGGAAAAGGATTATATCTTAAACCATATAAAACTGGATATGGATTGTATTATAGACCAGCTTCAAAAAACTTTTAAATAATCTACCCAATCGACCATTAACAGATTTGGATCTAAATAAATATGGTAGACAACTAAAATATTTTAGAGGTGTTTTCATGCGTGATTGTTTACCTAAAAAACCATTAGTTCAAGAATGTGGTATTGTTAATTTAGATGATAAAAATGGACCTGGAACACATTGGGTAGCATATTATAAAAATCACAACTATAAGGAATATTTTGATAGTTTTGGCGACTTACAACCACCAATTGAAGTCATTAACTACTTAAAACCACCCATTCAATATAATTATAATCAAAAGCAAAAATTCAATACATTTAATTGTGGTCACTTGTGTTTAAAATTTCTATTTAATAAATATAACAAATAAATATAAAATTTTGTTGTTTTATTTAATATAAAATATTTTTTATTTATTTATTTTTGTTCATATTACATATCTATATTAAGAAAAATATCATCATCTTCCTCCATAACATCTCTATAATTTCTTAAATTTAGTGATTCTATTTCTGAATCTGATGAAGGTATACAATTAATTCTATAATGACCCCATGCATATGTTTTAATTCCATTTTCTCTTATAAATCTCTTATCATCTAAATAGCTTAATGTTAACTTACTTATATGTTGTGTATAAATTTGATGTATCTTAGATCTAAATATATACATGGAGTCAAAATATAGTTTTTTCTCTTGTAAACATTTTCTGAAATCGTTAATTGATAGTTTAGCTGTTACACATTGTTTAACACCTTTGATTTTTTTAATTTCTTTTTCATCTCTATCAATTTTAACTGAATACATTTTTGCTCTTAAACCAATGAATTCCTTAATAACTTTACCGTTGCACTCATCTTTCATCATTCCTAATACTTTTTTATTTACAAGCGGGATATTATAAATATTATCTTTCGGATATGCAGATGTATCGAAATGAGTAGTAATATCATTTCGAATATCATCATACAAGTCATTTGTTTTGACATCATATATAAATGAATCTGTATCCATATAATTAAGATTAATGTTATCAAGATATTTAGGTTTCATGTAATCATAATGAAAATTATACATTTTCCATTTTGATAACTCTAAAACTGAAAACCCAATATATATCGGTTTATTATATACTGTTTTTACTCTTCTCATTTCGATTGCAATCATATTTTCATTAATTTGAATAGCACTATGAAAGTTTGGTTTAGCTATAAGAGACCTAGCACCTAACCGTTTTTTTCTATTCTCCCATTCACAAACTATTTTTATATCTTTTCTCTTGTCAACGTTTTCCATGGTCTTACCATATACAGCATTATTTAGCAATTTAAAAAAGTTTTGTTCAAAGGAATTTTTTGCTAAAGTTCTATGATGATTGTTCAAATCGATATATGTTTTCAACCAATCTGATTGATTAAATTTAAGAATTCTATGGATTTTCTTTAAGATTAAACCATTTGCAATACATTGTTGAAGATTTTTATAGTGAATTACGTAATTTGTTTTATTGTTTAAATCTGTAATTAATTTTTTCTGTTTCATTGTTTCTATTTTTTTATTTTCTGCACAAAATGGTAAATCATTATGATAGTCATGTAAAGAACTGGGGTAATCTAAATCTACTTCTAATATATACCCTATTGGAGAATCGTCTTTAATATCGTTTAAGTTAAAATTGTCAACGTTTTCAAGCCATTCAAAATTTTTAAAAGGAAGGTATTGTGACATTGCATAACCGTATAAATTATTTACATCTAAATATATAAGATAATTTGATTCCTTAGTAGAATCATAATCACTAACATATTTATTATTGGCTATAGAATGACGGTTACTGCATTGAACAATACCTCCCCTTATACCTCGAACGATAAAATTATACATATTAATGTCTGTTAATAGTTCTAATTCTATTTTTGTAGTTTTCAACATTGCATCCCAAGACAGACCAGGTGTAGTATAATATTGACATGGATCTAAGTTATGAATATTTTTACAGACTTTTCTAAAATTTTCAAATATATCACAAAGTAGAAGAACGTCAACTTTGAGATATAAAAGTAAATAATCTAATAAAATATTACACTGAAATGTACTCCAAACATTTCCTGCATGTTGGTATTCTTCTTCACTACACGACACATTAGTCAGTTTATTGAAAAAGACTTCACGAGGAGGTAACTGTGTTTCCTGTAGACGATTTTCTGAATCTATATAATCATAGGGAAAAACCCCTTTACGTTTCATTAAACTGAATTCATTGCTGTTGCTATAAAATGATTTAACAATTTTTAAATCATCATCAGTCAAGTAACTAGCTAATTTTTCTAAACTTGATGGCATGAATCGAAATGAGTCGAGAAAACGTAATTCAAATGTTTCTTTTTCATTTACCGGAATTCTTTTAGATATTGATACATATAATTCCTTATTTAAAGGAATTATATTTATATCACCTTCAATAGATGAAAGTTCTCTAACAAACAAATGACAATCGTATGCCGAAAGATTGTGGAAAAAAATAGGAATGAAATTGGCAATTTGATATTCTAAATTGCAATTATTGTGAGCAGGTCCTCTATATTCACCAGTTAAATGACAATGATCCGCCACTCTATTATGATCTAAAAATTTCTTGCAAATGTGACATGTTGGATGTTCATTTTGAATCTGTTTTTGGAGTGGTGTTAAAGAATTCATTGGTTTAACTATTCTTAAATAATTATTATAAATATATAAAGTATCTTCTACTAAACTTTTGAAAAAATGCTTTGGAGAATTCTCACCACTGTATATTCTAAACTTGTCTAATTTAGAGTCAAATGAACACTTTATATAGTAACTATATGCATATGGAATATGCTTTTGTACAGACTTTACATTAGTAGAATTCTGAACATTTGTTGATTCTAAAATACATTCAAAGTCAGCATACACGACAAATGGTACATCCATTTGCTTCTTAAAATTTTTGAAATTGAGAATGTTATCACCTGGATCTGGCATTCTAGTAACCATTTTGTTGCATTCCTCTTTGTGTTTTACTAAGGCCGCCTCATTGTGAAAGTGGATAAGACATGTATTACATATATATACTTTTCTGCAGTGTTTTGTTAGCTGACTTTTCACCAATCTGTAATTATATATATATATATATATATAAAAAAAAAAAAAAAAAAAAAAAAAATTAAACTTTAGTTAAGTGTTTATTTTTTTATATTTTTTTTTATAAATATGCTTACCTTGATATACTTTTAATCCAAACATAATGAAACCGTTCATCTTTCTCCAATAACAACAAATTAATGTGAATATTATTTTCCTTTTGTGTAAAGTAGAATGGTCCTACTACATGATCCCCTTCCAATCCAAAAACATTGACACTGATCTCGGGGTTATTTTCTTCAAATATCTTTATCATACTAACGGCTAATGGAAACTTTAAACCTTTAAAATTTAAAATCTTTCCGTTTTCTAGCGTTATCATTTCATCTTTAATTTTATCATTTATATTATAAGATTGGCATCTTTCTGAATGGTGCGGTAATTCACATATTGCAGATATTATAGCCCACTTGAAGCAGTATTCATCTTTATTTTGTACATTGATACATGCTTTTTTGCTGGCAATTATTGCTGGTAAAGGTAAATATTGTGAACCTTTAAGACATTCATATTTATTAATATTAATCTCAAGATGTGTGATTTCTATTAAGGTCCATCCGCTGTCTCGTTCTTGAAATTCACTCATCTTTGCTACTAAATTCTCACATTGATTAACATAACATTGTTCAATGTCTGTATTTGTTAATGATGAATTTAAAATAATCATTTTGGATTGATGTGATTTTGTATCTACGCTACACAAATCATTATCTTTCATTAACACATATTCACAAAAGAGTTCACAATTAAATTTAATACTTAAATGTTTTTGTAACAATGCATTTAATAGGTTAATTACTTTGGCTTTTATTTCACTTAAAAAGATTTCTGGAATTAAGTTTTCCTTGTTTTCGTTTTCAATCGAATATGATGCGATTCGATTTTTAAAACAACAGTTTATTGACTTTATATTATTGCCTAATAGTTCAGCACTCTTTTTTTTGTGATCATTTGTTCTTAAATGAAAATGCCATATTAATTTTGAAATATGCTTATTGCATACGTTACAAAAAACATTATTATTATTATTTTCAGAATGATCTACTAAATGTAAATGTGTTTGAAAGTCTTTGTGTGTTGTAAAATGTAGATTACATATTGAACAATAAAATGATGATGAAGGACCATCGTGATTTAATCTAATATGACGTCTTAAGGAAGAGTTATGTTTAAAATTCTTGTCACATATTTCACAAATAAAATTTGACATTTTTTTTTTTTTTTTTTTTTCTCTTAGTTTTTTAGAAACTCTTTCGATTAATGCAATACTTAAACTGTTTTAATTATATACATGCAATAGCAGATATATAGTAAAATTAGTTAACATAAAAGGAGTAAGGTGAAGTACATTTTTAAATTATAAATAACTGTACTACATGTTTTAATTTATATTACATTATTGTTTACATTTACAATTCTTATCATACAAGTGGAATTTTATTATATATATTTATTATATATATAAATATATATATATGTATATATATATATATATATATATATATATATATATATATATATATATATATATATATATATATATATATATATATATATATATGGAAAATTTTAAAACCACAAATATTTTATTAAACACATACACGTGTTCCTAATACATTGATATTTTTCCCTTTTATCGACTTTATTAATATATTTTTAATATGAATACCCCTCTCTAGTATTTACTTTAACACCCCTTCACCGACAATTTTCACTATAAATTGTTCGATCACAAGAGAAATATTATTAGTCAGATCTTAAAGTTTGTTAATTAAAGTAAATAAAGAAAAACAATCCATCATGAATGTATTAAACTTCTTGAATAATATTGGAGAGAAAAAATTTGAGAAGAGTATTCTCTCTTTAAAGGATATTCCTGCAAACGAACCACTAAGGATAATTAAATGTGCAAGGAAAATAACAACATTTGGCGTAAAAACGATGTTAGAATTAGAAAAACATGTTGTTTTTCTACCAGAAAAATATAGTTTTATCCCTGACGATGTTATAGAGCAGCTATCATCCGGCAATTACAATTTAAAAAAAATTTTTAATGGTTATTATTACAAATTTGTATTTGAAATTAATGAATAAATAAATAAATAACTATTACTTTTGTATAAAAGAAATGTATTTATCCATTTTTATTTTAGTTATTTAAGAAAAATGTATCACGAAAGATTTATAGTAGTAGATGTTCAAGGATTTTATATTGCTGATAAATTCTATGTAAAAGAATTTAGCATTTTAGACGACGATAATTATGATTTTAAACTTAAAACTTTTCTTGTAAAATCACCCTATAAATATTCAGATTTAACATATAAAGAAAAGAAAACATATAAATGGTTGCATTATCATTTACATGGATTATGTTGGGATGATGGTGATTCTACTCTAAAAGAAATTATCGAATATTTATTATTTATTATGACAAATGAAAATCCTATTATATATGTTAAAGGATGTGACAAAGAAAAATGGTTAAGTGAAATATTTGAAACGGAAAAACTAAAAATATCTATATTTAATTTAGACTCTTGTCCAAATTTCAAAATTTTATATAAAAATAATTCACATATAAATATATGTAATTATCATAAGAATAATATAAATAATTGTTATCTAATGTGTGCTGAAAAGAATGTTATTTTACTTCGAGATTTTATTCACTTATGTTTAAATGAAGAAAAACTTGATGAACTTTATTAACTTACAATTAGTTATTAATTATTCACCATACGGATAACATCAACAATGGTAACATCTGCTGAATTAGAGGAACTGTTGGATAAATATAGTTCACATATAGATCAGGATCATAGAGATTTATTTCTCAAAATGATTAATGAATTACGAATGTATAATAACGTTATTACACCATTTATATATTTTGATAATTACTTTCACAAATATGATTGTGAAAATATTCAAACAAAATCTTTTAATATATGTGCATGTAAATCATATTACAATCAATATATGTTAACAATAAAGCTTTATAATTTATACAAACGTATTTTTAATTTTACTCCACAAGAAAATAAAAATATTAAATAATTGTAATTTTATTTTTTAAGATTTTATTGTAATTTTATTTTTTAAGATTTTATTGTATTTATTTTGATTGAATAAACAAGTATGAAAGTAAAAAACAGAAACAAAATACATGTTTTTATAAATTTATAGATTTTATAACAAATCGTTCTCCAACTCGTTTTATAGCACGACATCCTGTTATAGGTTTTCTGCATAAATGGCAATTTTCAATTTTCCTGCAGCATGATTTACATACTTCATGTGAACAATACATGAAACGTATATGCTTACCGGAAAAATTTTCAAAGCATATTGTACATTTATAATTCCTCCAATAATCACTTTCAAAAGTGTTTTTGGCTCTTAAAAACTTCAATATATTCATACGCGTCTTCTTAGAATTTTTACACTTCTTCTGCAATTTTCTTATAATTCTTTGCATATTACACTCCCCATTCAGTAAATTTTTATATATATCTTGATATTCATTAATTCGAAAATAGTGTGATGTCATTGCATGGGTTAGCATATCTGTTTCATCACACATTTTTTTAATAAGATCCTCATCCTCATCCTTCTCTTCCTCCTCATCACTAGAAGAATCGATCAATTCCTTAACGTTTCTGACAACATTGTTCCGGCTTGTTGACGGCTGAGAATCATGGTTTACTGTCATTGAATCATCGTTTGCTGTCATTGAATTATTAAATTCGTTTAAATTCAATATCTGTGCCTCATCTAGAGACACCGTTGAGTCCGATAACACAACATTATATGCTGGTGAAGCTGGGGATTCAATTTCTTCATTGGGTGATTCTATCACTTCATTAGATGACAACGGAGATTCATTTTCTATAGGATTTAAAACTTCACTTTCCGATCTCATAGAAACAAAGTTTGCACTCATGATTAATATTTATTAACTGATTAATTATTAAAAAAATATAAAACCATTTCTTTTATTTAACACAAAAAGTAATAATTCTTATATTTCTTATCAAAAAAAAGAAAAAAATGTAAAAACTACCCCCTTACCTTCCTCTCATATATTTTCTAAGTATGCAAAAAAAATTCTTAAAAACCACAAAAACTACATTGTAATGCACTCGCGCACCAACTCTTAAAACCGCAAACTTATTATTGCATACACTTTTCAAACGCGCTCGCATTAATAAAACCGCAAACAGTTTAATTGCACTTTAACAAATCCCATGGATGGAAAACACACTACACTCACAAATCACAAATTTAATAACACCCTCACCGATGCAGAGATGGACCTCCAACATCACACACACACACACTCTACACTCACCCTACATCCAGCACCCACACACCCTACATCCAGCATACACACACCCTACATCCAGCACCCACACACCCTACACCCAGCACCCACACACCCTACACCCAGCACCCACACACCCTACACCCAGCATACACACACCACACACTCACCCTACACCCAGCATACACACACCCCACACCCCCCCTCTCAAACCACCACCCCCCCTTCACCTATCACACATTCTCAAACGTACACATACTCCCACCCATGCATAACACACATCTCAAACGTACACATACTCCCACCCATGCATTTTTATCAACTACTTACCAGACTGGTTACCAGTGGCGAAAAATTCATGCATACCAGTTTTTGTATGGAAAACCTGGGGTAGAACATACATAAACATACTACTTATTAGTCTTAAATATATTCTGGACTTTTAGCAGTCGAGATTAAACTGTAGTCTACAGTCTTGTTAATAGACTAGTTATTATTGACTATTTCTTGATTTATAATGTAGTTTTTTTAATTAAGTTTCAAAACAAGTTCCTTTTGTCAACATACATTTCAAAGTCGCTTAGATAAAACAAAATCAATAACGACATAATTATACATAGAATTTTACATAAAGATCTTAAAGATAAACTAAAAACCCTTAAGATTAAAGCTAGCGCCATCTAAATAGTTTAAATTAAATTCCGCCCCTTAACTAAAGTAAAATACGAGCACAAAATCTTACTTGATATTTGACGGTATATTTTAGAGTTTCTAAACAAATGTGACCTTCGCTTGTCACCGAATAGTTTCCGAAAATGTAACTCATTTAAATGTAAAGTTTAATTTAAAAATTAACATTTTTTTACATATTTACCCTCGTTTATCAATAAATACAAATGACCTCTAAATTAAGCGTGAGTTTAATAAAATGAAAAGAGCAGCCAACAAATTATGTTTAACACTCTTTATAACAAATTGAAGGGCCATGTTAATTAATCAACGGAATTTAAACCCTAGATGATTAATATTAATTAATCGAATGGCAAAAATAATGATCATGACGAGTAGCAAATGTAAGATAGAGAGAGAGAGAGAGAGAGGGAAAACGAAATTGGTTTTATATGAAACATAAGCTTATCTGACAGTTGATGTCATTGTAGGTGAGAAAAAAACTGATCTCTTATTACATATTTTGAGTGAAAATGTAATAAAGTTTAGCTGCGGATCAACTGAGAGTATTTGAACTTTACCTGTGAAAGATCAGTAGATCTCATTAAGAAAAAACTGATTTGAATAGTTATTTTAAAGTGAAAATATAGCAAAGTTTAGCTACAGATCATCTGAGAGAATTTGAATTTTACATATCAACAGATCAGATGATCACCTAAAAGATCGCAGCTAGAATCGGAAATCTGTATAGTTATTTGGAGTGAAAATGTAATAAAGTTTAGCCTACAGATCAACTGAGAGAATTTGAACTTTACACACATACCTATGTAAAGTTTAGCTACAGATCAAAGGAGAGAATTTGAAGATCAGAAGATCACCTAAAAGATCGCAAAAATAATTTGAAATCTGAATAGTTATTTTGAGTGAAAATGTAGCAAAGTTTAGCTACAGCTCAAAGGAGAATATATGAGCATTAAAACTTAGAGATCAGAGGATCGTTAAAGAGATCGTTGCATTATTTTGCTTTCCGTTGCAGCCTGTAGTTGTGGTGTCAATTGTAATCAAGTTGTAGTTAGTTTTTGTTTCTGACGAAATCTGTAAGTTTCTCAAAATCAGTAAGATATAGAGAGAAAGAGCAAATCAAAAAACCTTTTGGAATTGAAACAAGAGATGTTTTTCTTTCCATTTTAAGTAGTTTATTTCTCTAAAGA